CCATAATTTGATATATGCATTTAAGCAAGATATACGGTATTGTTACAAATCTTCATTTTTATAATGAAATATATCATGTACAATAAAGTCAACAGCATAGTTAACGTTTAAACTTTATTAAAACCAACAACATTAACAAGAACAAGAACAAATCATTCCTTCAGAAACAGTTCACAGAAACTCGATCTTACACAAAATTCAATTGTCCTGCAGCATGTCGCTCAACGACGTTGTATATCAGTTAGTTATGCACTCGTACAGAATGGTTCACATCATGAATGATCAAGTGCCGGGAGACCTACGACATTAGTAACATGATTCAAATAATAATAGCTTCGAACTAATGACAAATGCTTCGAATCAAACCTTCTAATCACAAAATGCATTAAGACACTTGTCGTTAAGGGCCCAGTCATGATGCTGCTACGCTCGCTAAAAGCAGTGCAAGAAAACAAGCCAGCAAAACCATAGAATATGTAGTTATCAGTATGGTTATGAGGTTAGTAACATACGATATTGGCATTTCAGTCGAACAAAGAATGTCATACGATTCACAAATATCCTTGCATTTTGTACTCTCACCTTCGCAATTTGGGTCACGTTCGTCAGTATACGGTTTATCATCGGTTGATATTACAGTTTCTTCGTCATCTTGTTTCTCTTTTTTGTTACTTTGCGGCATTAAATTGTTTTCAATATTCAGCAAGGAAGCATCCTCTTTAACTTCAATGTTACTACTGCAAGAAACGTTATTTGTTGCAACGTTATTTTTTAGTAATGCCTCTAGTTCTTCGATTTCTTTCTCATGCTCGCATAAACTTGCCGCTGCTAATTGTAAATCATGAACAGCTTTGGATAGATCGAGTTCTGGATCGATATGCAAATCATTTTTCACATCTTCTGGCTTCACTAAGTTGTGGTCCTCGTCTGAGATTATCGTTGTATTTTCTTTAGGAACTACATTTAATGCATCAGTGATTCTAGGCGAATAAGACAGGTCATCGTTCGTATCGTCTAGACTGCTAGTAGCGGAGCTGCGAGTACTAGTATTGGGCGCCGTACTATCAGTTTCTATTTCGGAACGGTGCGACGTCAACGAATTCTTTTGGCTTAAACGACTATCGCGTAAGTGATCTGCCACGCTGCTAAACGCCTCCGCAATTAGTTTAACATTTTCGTCCGCGACACGAAGATAGAAATCAAACGTATTATCGTCAGTGTTCTCGGAACATTCATTCTCAGGTTTAGCGAGGGATTCCGTCAATTTCTCTATATTTTCTTTATCCGTATCTTCTTTGTAATTTTCAATATTATTTTCTGAATAGTGACTACCTAAGGACTGAATATGCAGTATGGAGGATTCCTCCGTCTTATTACTATCATTTGAGATATCTGTTACTACAGGAAGCTCTGAATGAACATTCGTTTCCTCAATCGGTTTCACTTCCTCATCGTTTTGTCCTTCAATCAAATTGACTAAATCTTGGCATAGGCGACTATATGCCGTAAAATCAGTTTCCGTGTCTTGATCGAACGACTCGTTTGATTTGTTTTGTACGCAATCCGGCCAGAACTCATTGTTGAGGGCCTTTGACAATACGTCAGCAGATGTCATGGAGTTTCGTGCTCTTGCACTGTCCTCATTTTTATTATCGTCTTGTATTCGAGTCGATGGTGAAACGTAAACGCGCAACTTTTTCCTATGCGTATTCGTAATTGGACGGTTCCCGTTTATATCAGTTCTAGAGTTCCTCAATAAACTATCAGTATGACATCGGTCGTAATCAGAGAGTTCACCATCACTTACGACGCGCCTATCGGATCGTACAGACAACGATTTGATATCTGTTATAGTGTTATCTATTTCATTCTTGATCTCTTGAAGACTAGGTTCTCTCCTAAGATGAATTCTATCGTGATTAATTAAACCGTATAGATTGGCAGACAGAGATCTAACCGCTCGTTTCTTCTTCGTACCAAAAGTAGTTTCCCGATCTATAGCGATGCCGTTTTTACTTTCGACACTGCTCTTCGATGTGCTGGCATCCTTCCTGAGAGCTCGGTAAGCCAAGTCATCTGTAACAATGTCAGGCTCGCATTGCGGTATGTACGATGAACGAGGATGATCTGGTTTAGTCGGTGTAGTGTGTAAATAGTCACTTTCCGTAGCGGCTGTTACCGGTCCTAAAGGTATTCCAAACGGAGGTTGCGGATCGATCACTTTCAATGTGTTGTTAGCATGATTAATGCTTCGATAAACAACGTCGTCCCGCGTTACATCCGGCTCGTCCCGCCGCGTTGAGTAATTCGCAGCGTACAGATAATTATCACTTGTGTCTTTGCGTGATAATATGGGCGAGGCTATCAGGTAACTGATATTAGAGAGTGCAGATTGGCCAACCACTTCCGACAACGATGTCGGCCTGTCCTTTGGGTGCATTCTTCTGTAAGCCATATCGTCTTTTGTTCTGTCTGTTGAATCTTCTGAAATAAACGGAACAGCAGTGTTAGTTTTCGCTTGACGTAGACTAAATTCTTCCATACTCCGCCGTTCTGCTCGATCTAGTAGATCTTCGTCTCCAAGACGAAGACTGTTGTATATTGCTTCTAACTCAGAAAGCGCTTCCTCAAGATTCTTGGAACTTCTTTTCCTTTCCATCGCATCCTCTTCGTTAACTGCTTGTTTCTCTTCTTTCTCTTCATTTCTCATATTATCTATAAATGTAACGTTTGGTAGATTGTAAGAATTTTCTCTCACCGTCTGTTTGGTTGGTGATCTCGTACAGGAACAATCTGATGATTTATTAAAAATAGGCGATACAGAATTATTGCGCATATTTTTGATATAGGTAGTAGACAATCTGTTCTCGCGCATTTTGGTATCATAATCTTTAAAGCTTGAAGTAAGCTGATCGTTGCGATCATTTCTCCTCTGACATTTCATCGCTTCTGTTTCTTTAAATAATGGTTCATCTATATGTCTACCTGTCGAATTGTGTCTATTGTTTGTACACTCTGATAAATTACAAGACTGCGTCGAGCTCATAGTCAAGGACAATGGACGTCGTGCATACTGTTTTGCCGAGCCACACCAACTGATTTCGTTATTTGATTCGTAGGATCTTAAACTCTTTAAATGATCCTTGGTAACTTCATGAATATCGTTCATTTTAATACGCAAGGTATCGTCGTACTTTGTTACCTGATACTTTCCACTAAACGGAAGGGAATTACAACCATAAGTTACTCGGCAACGTGGGTCCCTTGGTGGAGGCTCAGGTGGGGAAGAACTTCGACTTGCAAACTGACGGTTCCTCGTATAATCATATGGATCAGCATAAATGGTACTAGTCGCAGGTAAATCGAGAAAGTAATTCTCCTCTTGATTTACTTGATTCTTATTTCTGTGCAAAACATTTGGTTTTGCGTAAGTATTATTTTGATTTAAATCTGTAATATATTGGCTTGACGGATGTTTTGTAAGATCACCAGATGATCTTGCTTGCGATGCGACAATCCCAGATTGTCGTAAGTTTTCAGCAGATCTTTGTACAGGGAAAGTATTACTATTAGAATAACTGGTGAAGTGTGATGATTGTTGTGGAAGCTGAAATAATTCATTCGCATCCATGTCTATAGATGATTGTTCTTCATTTATGAAATCATGACTGTTACGCTTATTTGCTATATTGTTTAAGTTTTCTTGAAATTTATAACCTTCGTCTCTGGTTAAACGTTTTATATAACGTTCTGTACGTGCTGCACGACTTTTTCTATTGCAAGAACTATTTTTCTGTGTACTATGTCCAGCAAGTTCATTCTGATATCTTGTCAACGAGTTACAAGATTTACGTGAATCTTCATCTGAACTACTATCTGCACAAATGCGATCTCGTTTCGCTTCTACTTGTGCTTTCAATTTATTTTTCCTGGCCTTTTTACTTAATCCATCCAAGGATCCATCGCTACTACGAGAATTTAATGAATCCCTCTGCAAACTTGTTGTATCCAGAGATTTTGCAACAGTGTCATTTAAGTTTTGATTTGATCCTTTTTCAACTGGATGGAGAACAACATTATTTGATTTTCTATTAAATACTGTGCAAGGTCTTGGTTGTCTTGTACAATATACAATTTCTTCATCATTGGAAGAACTATCGTAATCCCTTATTGAAGATATACGTTTTAATATTCCACCGATTGACCACTTTTTATCTTTTTTTTTATCTGTAGAAGTCACAGCATTACAGACAGGTAAGCGTCGGGTCGGTGGCAAAAGACCATCCATTCTTAGAATATCCTTTCCGCTAATACTCCTCTTTTCCATTATGAATAAATAATTTATTTCATTAAATATACCTAAAAATTCAAGATTAATTAATATTTAGAGATCCAAAAACTTAATATCGTTTGATAAAAGTATCACATAACAAATTTATGAATTATTATGATATTAGTATAACATTAATTACATTAATAGCTATAATAACTAGACTGTGGATATTTATATAAATTTAATTAATTTCATCATCATATTTACGGAAATCTAAATTCGTTCCATTCATTAAATACAAGTATTCTATTACGAATGTTTTCTTGTAATTTTGCCTATTGTCCGTTATGTATAAATTTCCCATAAATTCACAAACATTCACAGTCTAACAATTACACATTCAATTTCAACAATCGTGATTTTACTTACGAATATGTATATAATATATATGTATATATACACAATATATATAAATGCAGGATATATATAAAAATGCGAACGCAAGCACTTATAACCAACAAACGGTTTACATTCTATCCAAGCGGCGAATCTTCAATTCCCAATACCGATATGTTTACACAATGAACACCTTGAAACAGGGTCTCCATTATAAACAATTATATGCCATTACGTATATGTAGTATATAAATAGAATATTGTCTGTTAACCTCCATGCAGACAGTTGGCTGAATGATTCAGATAAGTATTAAGCGAAGGGCGAATTTTCTGTACATTTGCCAAAAATGTTCCTCTGTGTGACTCGAGAATGTCAGTCACAAAACTCTATTCACGTTCCACAACATGAAAATCGCGATACCACAACTCAGGTCAGTACGGCTAGTGCAGTAGTCTCTGATAACGTTGATAAAATCTCCACACCTCGTCTATGTAGTCTTTCGCAATACGGTTGTTATCTTGACAGATGAACTACGAAAGCAGTATCTCGACTTCACTTTTGGCGATTACAAGTAGATTTCAATGTTTCTCGACGACTCGATATAGAGAAACAGTTACGTTTCGAAACAGGTGTTTGACTAGTTTCGAGGCTACGAAATTTGTAACTGATTTTTGCCTGGCGCTTAGCGCTGCCATTACATGGGTATCGACGAACATGCAGTACACGTCGAACACAAAGGACACTGGTAGAGTGGACTACGCGAAACTGACTCGAATCAGATCGAATCAGATATGAGAAGAGAAGGGATTCATCGTTTAGACCCCACCCATTACACCAACCACCTCCCATACTCTCGCGCAGAATCACGCACGGTAAATTGTGTACGCATCTTATGCACCCACGCATCGTAGATGTACATACCTATCTACTTAAAAAGATCCGCTTTAGAGTCGTTATAATTATTATTGTCAAATTATTATAATTGTCAATGTTTGTGTTCTGTAGATATTCTTATAGGAAATCAACAATAGAGTTTGTTTGTAATGAATAGAAATTTGTTTTGTCTGTGAGATGTGTGTACTATTTGCACGTTTAGTTGAGAATAATAACCAAGTTTAAGAATATACTACATACGTTTGTCAAATTCTTGTAAAACTGGGTATTATTTGCTAAATTCTTGAACAGCTTGTATTGTAATTGATTGATAAATATGTATATGTATGTAGGTATACTTCTGCATACACATTCTGCATATTTGGATAGTTTGACACATTTTAAATAGATGTGTTAAGTGTGCCTATTAAAGAGTTCAGCTTTGAGTGACTTATATGAGTGGCTTATTCTGCTTACTCTATAATGCATATTTGTATATATATATACATGTATTAAACGAAACAGAATTCTTGTAAAAATGTGTCAATTTCGTCAGTAACAGAATATGAAAAACTTCAGTGTAAATACTATAAACATCACTATGCATTACCATAGATAAAATATGAAATAGACTTGCAACTTAATGTATTTATTCTACATCTGGAAAAATTCAGACCTATTACCAACCGATTATCACCGTCAAATTCAAATTCAGTTTCATGTTCATATTATCAACTGCAAATTTAAATTTCAAATAAAGCTATTATTCTAGTCTAGCTATTATTCACTTTATAGTCTTCGACTATTGAACTGAACATAATTCTTTTGTTCACCGTAATAAATCGCAGAGGGCGTAAGAGACATCCTGAATTTTTTTCTAGGTTGGTATTTCAGAACGTGTAATATGAAGTTCATCTTATGAATCTCTTATTCTTCGACTAGAATCGAAAGGAATTTATGAAAGCAGTTCTTTCGACATAGTTTATAATTTTCTTAATTACAGTAACAAGGTTACATTGTTTATATTTGTCATGTAATAGAATTAGGATACTTTGTTAATTCTTTTTGTGAAAATTATATATTAACAAGTGATAGATAAATTACTTGATACTCGTATTGAGTCACAGAAACCTTGAACTTACGGCATCGAGTTGTTCCTGGGATCCAGCTTGAAATTATTTTGCATTCCACATTTGAATTACGTCAGACGGGCGACAAACCACGAAGCAATATTATAAATAGAAATGCTTCTTATGCTCACAGCTGACGTATTTTAATTTTGAACTGAACTCGAATTTCTGCTTTTATCTTAGAATTAAAATTTACTTAAATAAAAATTAACTGAACTGTAAAATCGGATTAATATCGCTATTGAAAATAAATGAGATGAATTAGTCGCATGTGCTTGTACTAAATTACGTCAATTATTTTTTTAACAAAGCATTTAATGTTGTAACTGCCTCTTATAAGCAAAGTGAAGCACTTCGCGCTTTCTTCACTCTAAATTGCACACAATTGTATGAGACTTACATTTTTTATAAGTTCAATCAATTTATTCTCATATACAGAGTGTCTAAAAAAATTGATAAATTTTTTTAATACACTTTATAATTTGCTATCGAACAGTTTGCATTTCTATATAATAGGTTGAAAATTTTTGTACACATTTGTTCTATTCGTTTTCAAATTCGCCTTCAAATTTGTTCTGTCATTTAAATATTGTAAGAATATATCATGAGTGATTTGCAAAATTTCTCTGGTGAATTTATATATATTTATATACCAAATCGTTACATGATTCAAAGTAATTATTAGTATTTTACTAAACATTTAGAAAAGTACGGTTATCACATCAGGCGAATTAAAGTTGTCAAAGAGAGAGCTGAATCGTTTGTACCGTTGCTGTGAAACAATTATCGTTTATTTCCTATAAAATATACTATTTATCTACATGTTAACCAGGTGGAAAAATATAATTTATACATCTTTTTATTTTATAAGCGTTAAAAGACGAAGAAATTTAGTGCAATGTCCTTCAATTAAAAAGTAAAAGAAAAGATGAAGAGGAACATAAATTTTTGTATTTTCTTTTATTACATTTTAAAACGTTCACATGTATACGTTTCATATTTTAAAGTTTCCCAATGTCAAATACATTAGAAAGATTTTTTATTAATATGTTAAAAAAAATTCATGTTTGCAAATGTTTATTTTTACCTCTATCTGTATCATTAACTTATAACTTGAATCAGGAATTATATAAAAAGCAGAAAAAAAATACTTATCATTACAATTGAAAAATTTATTTATATCTTGATTTATATCCTCAAGCATTTTTTGTTATCTCTTCTTTCAAATTCAACCAATCTTCCATCGATCCTATAAAAGTTAAAGGCTTTGAAAGCAAAAATCGAGAATATCTTTTGTTGCAAAAGATTTATTTGAGGAGTCACTCGGATATCCAAGTTCTTCAAACGTTCTTTTAAATAAACGAAAGAAATCTCTGGGGGAAACCTGTTCTTATTTCCTTCTTCTTACACGCGTCTCGTTTGAGAGCGTGCGCGAAATCCAGCGACGTTCGCGGTTATTTTAAGAACGATCCGGATACAAAGAAATAAAAAAAGGAGGAAGGGAAAAAGATTGGGAAAAGGCGACGTAGTGCAACGTGCGTTTCATGAAAGTTATGTCTTCAAGGATCGTTCGTGCAGGCGCGGTGCGTCACGCGTCGCGTTAAAAGTCCGAAACGTCTCGGCGACCGTGTTATTCTTTCGAAATTAGGTATTCGTGCTGCATCATTCGGGTCCAGAGTGCCATATACGGCTGGCCAAAGACACCGGGCATGATGTACGTGCATACCTCATCGATGCAGCAAGGAGAAAGCCGCTTTCAGCGTTAATTCAGGACAACAGCCTTTATTTTGTGCGTGGCGAAGAAAAAAAAAAAAAAAACAAAAAAACTCGATAGGCGAAAAAATCGGCATAGCGCCGATCAAAATAGCCGTGCCGATCTTTTTATAACGCGACCAGTGTTTATTTATATCTGAAAGTATGATTAATCATCGGGGGCAAAGGCAGGCACGTAATTTTCGGTTGCGCGAAACACTAGAACTGGGGTGAATGATATGGTATATTTCAGATTTAACATTGATAATAACTTTAATAACCTGTTGGCTCGTTGAAATAAATTGGTCGTTTCACGGACGATGTTTAGAAAAATTTATCACACAGTACGTGCATTTTCTTTCGAATTTATTTTTTATTCCCGATGTTTCAGTCCAAGTACGTGACCGGTCGACATGTTTTAAGAACATGTTTATAAAATACGAAGAACATCGGGCGAAAATCTGGACGACCAGGATATAATAATTTCTTTCCTTTATTGAGAATCGATTCTTTTTTCAAACCTTGTCTTTCGAAACACTCTGCAATTGATATGAGATCTTTAAGTGTAAAAGTAAGCTAGCGGACATGAATGTGAAGATGACACGAATACGTAGGTGCTATATAATTTTTCAATATCAATGTCAATGTGTTAGTATTGCGAGATTATCGTTATCGAGTACCGTTTCTGTACAATGTTAATGATGTTGATCTTTATGGCGCAAATCACTATCGTTAATATAAGTTGTCAGAATGTTAATAAAATAAAATATTACTAGTCGATATATATCGCTTAACCGTAGCTAATTGCAATGATAATGGAACGTTGTGAACTCTTATAAAATATCACAGTTAAAAATTTCGCAAAGTACAGATTGAAAGAGTCGGAGCCGTGAAAATCTCAA